GGATTGTCATCACGCTTCTCCTTTCAAAATCAGCTTCAGCTTTATGCTAAGCATATTCTAGAGCAGGAGGACAGAGTTCACATTTCAGTTTTAAATGGCTAGTGAAATCTTTCTGCTGGGAATAATCAAAGGGAAATATACAAAGACAATTAAGTACATATTAACACATCTGCTAACCACAGCTAGAATAGCATTTGCCCAATGCTGGAAACAAAATAATACCCCCTCTGACAAATTAGTGATACAAAAAACTTTGGATTGTGCAGAGATGGACAAATTAACACTAAAATTAAAAGATAAAGAAGAGTCGGAATATTATGAAATTTGAAACAATTGCTACAAATGGCTGCAAAACAAGAATAAAATTAATTAAGCCAAAAAAACAATACATATAAATATATATAGAACTCTGTATAAATGTCTGTAAATATAGAAGCGAAATATATACATGTACCGGTATGATGACATAATAATGTTGATATAATAACTTGAAGGTGTTATAGAAGGGAACAAATAATAAAAAATCTGCTAAAAATATTAACAAAATATTCTCTACTATTGTTCTTTCCAGGTGTGTTGGGACTATGTCCCAGCGCACAGGATATCTGGGAGAAGAGTACAGCTGGTTTGTTTGTTGCTGTTTGTGCTTTGTTTTTGTCAAAGTGGTAATACTTTATTGGATATAGGAATGCATTAAGATGATACGCTTGTTTTGGGGAGACTGAAGTTTGGTATCATTAATAAGTAATAGATTACATAAATAAAAATAATTTGGCTTCCCTTATCTATAAGCATTATATTTTCCCTTTTAGACTGAGCAAAAATGTTTCTTCCTTACAATTCCAATAGCTTTCAATGATGCTTAGTATGGAGTTTCTAGACCAGCGAGGCCGAACCTTTTTTGGCTCGCGTGCCATTTAGTCCTCCGAAGTCTTCAGGAACCTTCATGAGGCTTCCCTGAAGGCTCCAGAGGACGAAAAACATCCCTACGAGCAAATCAGAAGTGACTTCCGTTTGTCCGTTGAGTTGTTTTTCGTCCTCTGGAGCCTTCAGTGAAGCCTCACGAAGGTCTCTGAAGGCTCCAGAGGGCTTACACCAGCCCTATGAGCAAACCAGAAATCTGTTTCTGAAGCTCCGGTTTGCCCGTAGGGCTGAGGTTTTTTTTTCTTTTGCGCTCTGGAGGCTTCAGGGAAGCTCCTGAAGCCTCCGGAGGGCCTCCGGGGGGGGGGAGGCTCTTTTCACCTTCCTCAGGCTCCTATAAAGCCTCTGGAGCATGGGGAGGGTGAAAATGGCTTTTAAAAAGGCTGAACTCAGCTGGCCAACATGCGCATGCGTGGTGGCCAGCTGACAGGGCAAGGCCTCACATGCTCTGACAAACTTTTTTGCCATCGCATGCCAAAAGCAGGGGAGCATGGTGGGGGTCATCTGGGTATGCGCCCCCTCCCCCATGCATGCGTGCACGACCTCGCCACCCTTCCCCTCCACTTTTGGAGCATGATGGTGCGGTGGATCTGTTTTTTGCCCTCCTTTCTAGGAGTCTGGGGAGGGTGAAAATGGCCTCCCCTGTCTCCCCCTCCCTCGCAGGCTCTCTGGAGTCCAGAAATGGCCCATTTTCTGACTTCCGGTTTGTGTATTGGGCCATTTTTTGCCCTCTGGAGGGCAAAAATGGCCAAAAATGAAGGCCGAAATCAGCTGGCCAGTACACATATGCACTCTGGAACTGACAGGGCAACGCCTCACATGCCCTAAGAAATGGCTCTGTGTGCCACCTGTGGCATATGTGCCATAGGTTCGCCATCAGGTCCTAGAAGGTATCAGGTTGGTCTCTGGACTTTGGTGAGATTTTATATACCATCTTTCAGTATCTTTATCATTTGACACTTAAGGTTGCATTTCAAATGAATTGGGTCAGCCACATGTTACCATTATGTGGCTTCTGAGAAGTGCATCTAGACTAATGATACAAATGCTGACCCTGATGTTCACATTCCTTGTATTTTTCGTTTTATTTTTACTCCCAGTTAGAAGAAATAATGCCTAACACATATTCACATTCCTCTCATAATTTTTTTCTCCTTCCCCTTTGTCATTGCAGATGATGTATATCCAGAAAAAAAGGAGGTAAGAAATTCCAGGAGATTGAGGCTCTTTGCCTTTTTAGATCTATCTTCTTGCTTGTAATCCTCACTTAATGAACACAGATGGGATCAGGAACTCTGGTGTTAAGTGACATGATTGTTAAGTGAAACATCACAAGACCACAACTTTTAATTTTACTGCTGGCTTCTCCATGGAGTCTATTAGTTGGAAGCGAGCTGTGAAGTGCACAAATAGTGATCACATCATTGGCACATTGCAATAGTTGTTAATAGTTGACCACAAGGATGCTACCCTCTTCATAAAGTTGCTTTGTCAGCACTACTGTAACTTCAAATGGCCATACTGTAACTTCAAATGGCCATTAAATAGGGTAGCCATTAAGCAAGGTCTGTCTATGTTGCATTGAATAGCAGCCATGGGCTAATTTATTAGAAGGTGAATGAGGTTACTTACTGCTTTTCCTTCCAGTTTCACATGGTACTATTACTGATTTTAGCTTTTTTAAAATTTTAAATAGCTAAACATTTTAGTGTAAAATTAAAATTAACTGCTGAAATGAACTAGCTATTTTCTTTTCTAGCACTTTTATTTTCCCATATAAAATCCAGAAATATTTTAGGATATTATTTTAGTTTCCCAAATCTGGAAGGAAAATAATGTCCTTGCCGTAACAGTTTGTCCTTATTTAAAACCAAAGGAATTGTTGCTGCATGGATGCATTTTGTATGATGCTTTATGTAAAGTACTCTAACGATGTCTGCTTCATAATAAGCAACCCAATATTGTAATACAAAAAGCAGTGATTTATTGGGCTTCGAGGGGAGGAGCTGCCGCCGTCGGGAGCTTAATAAAGCTCCTGCCAGGACTCTGGTTCGTATATCTTA